CTTTCTCTCATTCTAGATAGAGACAGAGAGAGACAGAGACAGATAAAGAGATATAAAGAGAGAGAAAGAGAGAGAAAGAGAGAGAAAGAGAAAGAGAGAGAAAGAGAGAAAAAGATAGATAGAAAGAGTAAAATATAAATATAATTTAAAACAAAAATAAACAGAGACAGAGAGAGACAGAGACAGAGAGAAACAGAGACAGAGACAGAGAGATACAGGCGAGAGAGCAGCAGAGAGAGACTTACTTTATTTATATTTTAATTATATTTTTATTGTTTTATTATTTTTATTATATTTTATTTTTATTTTATTTTTATTTTATTTATATTTTAATTTTTTTTATTTATTTTGCTGCCTATACACCCGAGGGGTAGCTTCGATTCCTATGAGTGATCTTTTTCTGTGGTGTATGCAGAACAAAGAAATTAATTAAAATAAATAAAACAAATAAAATAAATAAAATAAATAAAATAAATTAAAATAAATTAAATAAATTAAAATAAATAAATTTATATTTTATTTTATCAGATAATAAACAACAACTCGCGGCGAAACGAAGAAAAAACAAAGCCGGCGCAGCTACCCTCGATCTGGTGTAAACACAGAAAGCGAGGTATATATATAAATATATAAAAAAAATAAAATATTTTTCTTTTTTTATTTAAAATAATAAAATAATTAATTTAATTACATAAAAATTATATATTTACGCACAAAAATATAAACTTTTTTGGTTTTGTAGTATGCAGGGCGGCACCCGGTGCTGCATCGATGGCTCTTCCTTCTCTTCGTTTTGTTGCCGTTCTAGTTTCCTCATTTATTTATTTATTTTTATTTATTTATTTATTTATTTATTTATTTATTTATTTATTTATTTATTTCTCTCTTTCTCTGTATCTCTCCTGTGTACTGAACCCGTGCTGATGCCGTCTATATAAACTATGCTTGGGGGGCCCCCCTCACCAGGCTAAGGGGGGCCCCCCTCTCTGCTTGTTTTTTTTTTATTCTCTCTTGCTGCTGCTGCTGCTGCTGCTGCTGCTGCTGCTGCTGCTGTGCTATGGGGCCCTCTCTCTCTCTGTTTCTGTTTGTGCTGTTTTTGTTTTCCTGTTCTTCTCTTTCTCTTTCTGGTTTTCCCTCTGCTGCTGCTGCTGCTACAGCAGCAGCAGCAGCAGCGACGCAGATGCTGCAGAAAGCGGCTCGCCTCCTGCATGCCAGCAGCAGCAACAGCAGCAGCAGCAGCAGCAGCAGCAGATGTTTAGGGGGCCTCTCATCTCTGCCTCCGCTGCAGCAAGCACTCAATAGGAGATTCTATAAAACCTCAGTTTGCTGCTTCCTGCAGCAGCAGCAGCAGCAGCAGCAGCAGGCTTACAAACTGCAGCAGCAAAGCTGCATGCAGTCTGCTGCTGCTGCACCTTCACCTCCTCAGCTGCTGCGTCGATCTTTCTTTGCTGCCCGCACAAACACAAACAGCCTTCAGCAGCAGCAGCAACTCCATGCAGCAGCAGCAGCAGCAGCAGCAGCAGCAGTACAGCAGCAGCAGCAGCAGCAGAAACGGTGTGCGACAACTGGGATTTTTGCTCGAGCTGCTTCAGTGGACAGCAGCAGCAGCTGCAGCAGCAACGACACCAGCGAGAGCGCCACATGCACCAGCAGCAGCAGCAGCACCAGCACCAGCAGCAGCAGCAGCAGCAGCAGCAGCAGCAGGAGCAGCAGCAGCAGCAGCAGCAGCGTTCAAGTGGACTTTGTGAGCGGGCACGAGTTTGGGGTGTACATACACCTGCCGTTTTGTCTGCGTCGCTGTCACTTCTGTGCGTTTCCTATTGTGCTGCTGCCGAGCAGCAGCAAAGCAGCAGCAGCAGCAGCAGCAGAAGCATATCTCCCGCTGCTGCAGCAGGAAATGGCTGCGGAATTCGAGGCCTTCTTAGACTCGCACAGACAAAGAGTGCAGCAGCTGCAGCAGCACCAAGAGGAAAGCGGTTGCTGCGGTCTGTTTATTTTGGGGGGGGTACGCCCTCGCTGA